ATAAATACAATGTTATCACAATAATATTTTCGTTTTATAATTTTATTAGCTTATTATTTTTTACTAATATATTATTTACATATATATTAATAAGTATGATAATGTAATTTTTTAAATAAAATAAAATATTTTATATATTATTATTTGATCCCTTCAAAATTAAATATCAATATCCACCACTACTTATCAATCTCAATTTTATTTTAGATTGTTGATCTAGTTGTCACAATGAAGTGGAGTCAGAAAGGAAGGGGAATAGGTTCCTTCTTGGTACAAAGGCATAAGATTTTGGTCATTGGTTGTTGGACGTTGTTAAAAAAGTGAAAAATAACTCGCAAGTTGACATCGAAAATCCAAAAGCAAAATTAAAAAAAAAAAATTGCAGCTTCAACAATCTTATACATATTTTTAAGTATAAAAATATTACATCATCAATTATCAAGATAAAAAAATTTGCATGTCAGTAACTTAAATATTTAAATTGTAATGAAATTTCAAAATTTGAAAAGTTTAGGGAATTGATTTGTTAAAATTATTGTATAAGAATTAAATCCTAATTTTGACTAAATTACATAGATTCTTTTCACAATTTGACCTTACTAAAATGAAATGCTATATTAATTAATTTTTTTTAAATGAGCAAATAATTCAACATTTCATCTCCTATGTCTTTGTAAAAAAAAAAAAAATACTTTTAAATATGTAATTTTAAATTTAATTTACAATTAAACAGATTTTTTAAAAATAATAAATAAAAAAGCCTTTCAAGTTAAAATAAAACTACCAAGAAAAAAAAACACTATAAAAGAATAAAATCAACTTTCCAGTTCATATATTCTAGATAAATTTGCCTTAATATTCCTGACAACACCTTTTATTATCAAGTTGATGCCTTTTCATTTTCTTTTAGGATGCTTTTTATCACTATTTTAAATTAATCTATTGTGTATATTTTTTATTTGAATTTTTTTTAAATAGGTTGTACTATAAGTTTCCTTTTTTTTTAATGCAAAAAACAAATGTAATCAATTTAATTTATTTTAAGTAGATTTGATAATTTAAAATATAATATGATAATATAATATAAATATGATATAAAAATAAAATACGAAAATAATCTGATTTAAAATTATAATAATAATTATATATAAATTTAATAAAATAAAAAAATTATATTTTATATTTTTATATAAATATGAATTATGACACGTAATTTTCATATAAAATATGATACAAATATATAAATTTTATTATTTTATATGATATAAATATACGAATCGTTAAATTTAATTTCATATAATTTTATGGACCAAGGAATTAAAGAATTCAACCAAAAACGATTAAATTAAAAAAAAACACACACGTACACACAAACACAATTGGGCATCCATCCAATGTGCTCTCCCCCTTTTTCTTTTCTTTTCAATTTCTAGATAGTGGAATATTTAATGTTAGTTAATTCGTGGTGGACAAGAGCATTTGGTTACCAACCAATCTTATTACTTACTTTTAAAAGAAAAAAAAAAAAGCGCTATTTACACCAAATTCAAGTAAACGAAATTATTACTTTAATCTTCTTATGACACAAATATTTATTATTTTTTTATTGATAACAATTAAGTTCGATAATTTTAAATATGATATAAAAAAGACATAAAAAAATATCATAATTTAAAATTTTAATAAAAATAAAAAATATATCCCGTATTTAAAATGTTAATATGAATTAAACACAATAATTTTTATATTTTATATAAATTTAAAATAAAATAAATAAATATAAATATATAAATTTTAAAATCTAATAAAAATCAATAATTTTTTTCTTTTAATATAAAGGAGTAGGTTAATACTATAATCAAACTAATTAAAGCATGCAAACATAAAAAATATTATTATTAAATAAACTTCAAATGCCATGGAACGTTAGTGGAAGTTTGTACAAAACGCTCGAAGTGAGATGCCAAAAAAAAAAAGAAAAAAGATCAAAAGCTTCATTCTTATCCATTTAAGCACTTCCCAAATAATTAATTGGGTTATGGGTGATAAAGCAGAAAGTGACTTTTTGATTACCTACTAAACCTGAAATTGGAAAATGACCCTTCCTTTTCTTATTGCTTTTATAATTGATTAATTAATTAAAATTGATGGGTAGTTGAAGTTACTGTCAAGTAGTTATCGAAGTGTTACATCTTTTGCATGAAAGACACATTAAATTAGTTCTAATAATAAAAACAAATTTGCAATGTTACCACACATTTATGCCACTTATTTTATATAGGCCAAATTTTATTCACAAGTAAAAAAGACGTATTCGTTACACTTGATTCGAATTATGTAATTATATCTTTTGATTATAGTTATTTTTTGCATTTTTTTTTTTTAATTGTTGACTTATGCATTAGAACATTTTATTTTATAATTTTTTTTTGTTATTATCTAATCTAATTTAAAACTCAATTTAAAAAAATTGATCTTATAAAATTGAATAAGATCGAAACTCACCGAATACGAGTAAGATTACCATCCCTAACCCATTGAGAGGTTTTCTCATCGACGTAAAGGCTGTCCTTTTGGCACATTTACGCATTTCAGCAAAGAATAATGTCAAAAAGTCTTAAGCATCCACAACTACTGCAAAGTCACAAGATATAATGCCCTTCAACAATTTGTTCCTGTTAATTAAAAAGTTTTAGACACACACTAAAGCAATCTATGTAGCCATAATTTCACAATTAGAAGAAAAAAAAATTAAGAAACTTTACCCGTCTTGGCTGTGAAGATAATTTGGCACCCTTACTCTTGAAAGAAATGTATACAACAATGTAAAGGATGTTTGTCTATTTTCTATTATGAAGTATGACCTCCTTAAGAAGAGATCCTGTATATAAAACACGTAATTAATTTTATTTTGGTATCAAATATATCAATTAGTAAGTTTTGATTATATCAAAATACGATACACTTAAAAATAATTTTTTATATCGGATTTGGTATTACATAATATTAATTGTTTTCGTTAGTTTTGATTGATTTTGATGAATTTCGATGACTTGATTTATTTCGGTTAATACATGAATGTAAAATATATTTTAAAAATTTTAATTTGTTTTTTATTGTTTAACCATTTTTAACCAAACAAAATTGATAAAATAAATTTTAAATTTTGAGTTTCTCTATTTTTTTTATTGTAACTTTTTTCTTTTATACTTTAATTTTTTTTGGAACAAAAGTTTGTAAATATTTTAATTTCTTTCAAGAAAGCAATTATGTTTCCTTTTTAAAGTTTAACAATCATAAAATAAAAGTTAAAATTTTTTATCTTTTTGTTTTATCTTAATATTTATATAAAAAATACTCATTTAAATATTATATGATCGGATTTAGTATTTAAAAATATCATAAAAAATTTACGATATTATTTCTTATACTAAAAATATATTTATTTGATTTTTGAAGATATTGTATATTTGTTTTGTAATTATTAATAAGATTATAATGTATAAGTTTATGAATATTTATAAATATATTTATACTAAATCAAAAAATTTGAAATAATATACTAAAATAATTGATAATGACATATATCATATTTAAAAAAAAAACTGAAATATTATCCAATACATTATTAACAACTTTAATATAAAACAACACTTGATTAGCCCTGCACTGCAAGGGCCTGTAAGTGATCTATAAAACCTGCAAGCTCAAATCATCAGTAAATATGATATCTGAACCATCCATGTGAGTTGAATTCTGAGTAACGGATGGGTTTAATTTGGCAAGAAGAAACCTTCCCTGACTGCTATTCTGGTCACATTTAACAAGCTTTGGAGGTGGAAATCGTTCAGCAACCAATTGCCCTGTATCAAGCCCCGGAGCTTCCAACAACTTTCTCAGGTTCTCATGGTTTGGGTCTTTGTTGATAACCAAGTTTTCTCCATTGAGCAATCTTGGATCCATAATGAATAACCACATAGAGTCAAAGACTCGATAACATGTGGACACATAGAGCGAATATCTAAGAGGACTGGAACTGGAAGCCCATCAAAAGAATACTGTAGAAATGTGGGTTGGATCATGACAATAGAATCCATAACTCACTCCTTCACCATTCAGCGTTAGCCGGGCGGAAGAATGCAGTTTCATCAGGGGTACTGTTAAAGACATCTAGGAATTGGGACCTTCTTAAATAGAACATGAATTGGGGGTAAAGAGAGAAGTTTGATGAAAGACGAGAAGACGAAGGATCCTCCTGGAAGCAAAATGAATAAGTGAATCATCTAGCCATCTAATTGGATATCAACGAATTGGATACGAGATGGATAGAATATTTTTTATTTTTATTTTTGAATTTTTTTATTTAATATTTATTTTTATATTTATATCTAACGCATATGTCAAATTTATTCATATTTATCTTAATGCATATTTAATAAATGTGAATAATTTTTGTATAAATAATTTTATTTTTTTAATTTTTATTTTATATATTTATATTTTTTCTAAATATATAATTTTAAATATAAATATATTTATTTTAATTAATTTAAAATAAAATTTATATTATTAAATAAAAATTAATTTATTAAATATATAAATATATATAAAATACGAATACAAAACAAAAATTATACATTCGAAATAATTTTAATAAATGAATATCGATATTAAAATTCAATATTAAAACTTTTTTTATCAAATAAGACAAATTTTAACCAATTACATCAATTACTTATTAGTATAACCTCACCTATAATCTTAAAAACCAAATTTATCTTAAGTTTATATTTAAATGGCATTTGTATATAAAAATATATATATTTAAATGAAAATAGACGAATATTAGAGCTTAATTTTGTTTTTAAATATAAACATATATTTTTTCTAAAAAAATAATTTTCTTAATCTGATTTGGAAAATATTTAGCATCAATTTCATTATTTTATTTTTACACAATTCCTTAATTATTTATTATAGCGGGCAAATTCATTTGCCATTTTTGCATAAATAATATATGAAAATTTCATATAAATTTTAATATTAAAAACAATTACGTTCTTTTTTTTTTGAAGTCACTTCTCAGTTTCCTCCACCGCCGCTCCACTAATCAACAAAAATCAGATATCACAAAAACGTCTAATCACCTGTGACTGGGATTGTCTTACCAAATGTTTGGTATTTCATACGGAGAGCTCTTCCTCTTGATTGCAGCCACTGCTGCTCTAGTTGGTATTTCTTCTCTCTCTTTAAACATGCTTACTTTTTGAGGTTTGTGGGGTTAATTGGGATTATCGGATTTGAAGAAATACTTTAATTGATGTTGAAATGAAAGCTTTTTTGAGCCAAAAACTGAAATGGGTTTTGTGTTTTATCCATTGTAGGACCAAAGGACCTCCCCAAAATTGCAAGAACAGTTGGTAGGTTGGCAGGTCGTTCTATAGGGTATGTTCAATTAGCTCGTGGCCAGTTCGATAATGTTATGCAACAAACTCAAGCTCGTCAGGTACTTTTTTTTTTTTTCATATAATTTAACAAAGTTAAGAAAACCCACTTTACGAAATAAATTTTCTGTTCTTGTTCTGTTCTTGTTCTTCCTGCCAAGAATTTTGGAAGTTCTTGAATGTCCACTGGAAGTAAAATCTCTAAACTGTATGGTATGTTATATAGAAAATGAATTGTGTAGCGTACTTATACCGTGAAAATAGTGGTGATGACGAATTTAGGGAGGTTTTGTGGTTCACCTTATGATGGTCTAGCGTTTTTAGGTTCACAAAGAGCTTCAAGATACAATGGCACAACTAGATGCAATACGGCATGAAATACGAAGTTTATCCCTTATGAATCCTGGTCCTATGACTAGAAGACTGATGGAAAGTCCTCCAGAGCCTGCGTCTGATAGTAATGGTAGTACTAGTGGTTCTAGTTTAATTATATGCATTCCATTGCATTCCTGTATGCTATCTTGTTCTGCTTCATATTTCTTAACTCCCCTCCCCCCCCCCCCCCCCCAACCCTTTTCTTTTGTCTGTGTGTCTTTTAGCAGGTACATTTCCAACTGAGATATGTGAAGAAGTGAAGAATTCAGCTGATACTGCAAAGAAGGTTTTGAATCTAATCACTATTATTTACACCCCTTTCTTTTTGATTTGTTTGTTTATATTTATTCATAAAGCATGTCTTCTTTGCAACATCTTGATTCCTTCACATGCATACTTCTCAGGATTATAATTTAAAATCTTTTGCTTCGACTGATTTGCATAGCCAAGCAACTGTATAGTATGTTATATAGAAAATGAACTGTGTATAGCATACTTAAACCATAAAGATAGTCGTGATGACAAATTTAGGGAGGTTTTGTGGTTCACCTTATGATAATCTGACCTTTTTAGGTTCACAAAGAACTTCAAGATACAATGGCACAACCAGATGCAATACGGCAAGAAATACGAAGTTTATCTCTTATGAATCCTGGTCCTATGACTAGAAGACTGATTGAAAGTCCTCCAGAGCCTGCGTCTGATAGTAATGGTAGTAGTCCTAGTTTAATTGTATGCATTCCATTGCATTGCTATATGCTATCTTGTTTTGCTTCATATTTGTTAACTTACCCCGCCCAACCCTTTTCTTTTGTCTGTGTGTCTTTTAGCAGGTACATTTCCAACTGAGATATGTGAAGAAGTGAAGAATTCAGCTGATACTGCAAAGAAGGTTTTGAATCTAATCACTATTATTTATAACCCTTTCTTTTTGATTTGTTTGTTTATGTTTATTCATAAAGCATGTCTTCTTTGCAACATCTTGATTCCTTCACATGCATCCTTCTCAGGATTATAATTCAAAATCTTTTGCTTCGACTGATTTGCATGGCCAAGCAACCATCTATGCAAGATTGGCTGAATCTGAAGCTGTTAAAGCTGGTTCAGCAAGGTGTAGTATAGAAGAAGAAAATCTTAATCATGAGTCTGTTGATTTCTCTGTTCTTCCAGTTTCAGCTGAAAGTGCTGGATTCCTTCCAGATCGCAAAGGTCATAAGATTATCATTTATTAAATGTTGGTTTGCTTCAATTATGTCCGTTTGCACCTGCATTTTGAAGGTTACTAGATTTTTTTTTTTTTTGCTGTTTCTATGGGTCATGTTCTCCTTTGAACAAGTTTTCATTGTATGTGTTCTCTTAAAATTTTGTCTCTATCATCTAAATGTTAAAAGTACTGTGCTTTTTTGTATGTGTGTCCATTTGGGTATAATGTATGTATGAATGTGTTTGTTTAACTTCCTGTCAATTTGAAGAAGTCTTAATACATTTACCCAACGCCTCTCCAATTACTTCGTTTTCCAATATGGATTGACTGTTTAGCTGGTTCATAACATAATAGATCTGGACTCTTTTCCAGGAAACAATGTACATTTATCCCATGGAATGAAAATATTTGCATGTTTAATTACTTTTGCAACCTTTGGCTGTTTGGTGCACCGTGTGATATTTACTTCTTTTAAGGGTTACCTAATATGCTTGCACAGTCACTTCAAATATAATATTTTAGTATTTCTTGCTGATGCATGTTAAGTCCATATAATTATATAAGTAGCTGTTGATTATGTTGGCAGAAAGTGCAAAAGGGTCAGATATTGTGTTGGAAGCAGTGATGGAAGCAGAGGTGGCACGTAATGCCAAAGATTTCTTCTCTCTGCCTCAAAATCAAATACAGTGAATAAGAAGGTATTGCCATTTAGTCTTTCCTAATCTTCTGAGCACTATCATCATGTTTCTATTCTCTGCCTCAAAACCAAAATGCGAAGTGGTGCTCGTCCTTCCATGCCAATTTGGAGGCCATTTAAGAATCACAAATTAAGTTAACGTTTCCTGTGCTCTGTTATATGCTTATGAAAACAGAGATAAAAAACAATGTTCTCTGAGTGTTCTTTTATTAAAAAGAATCCCTAAATATATAGAGGAGTTGATATGTACAAAGAAACCCACAAAATTAGGACACAATCATCCAAACATAGAAACAAATAAAATACCTGAAATATAAATCCCAACAAATCAGGAAGTTGATTCTGATTTGATACATAATCTGTCAACACCCCCCCTCAAGCTGGAGAATAGATATTTATCATTCTCAGCTTGTCAACAAGAGTCTCAAAGCTTGGTTTATGTAGTCCTTTTGTTAGGATGTCTCCTACTTGTTGCTTTGTAGGGACATAGGTTGTACAGATCACTCCCATATCAATCTTCTCTTTGATAAAATGCCTATCAGCTTCCACATGCTTTGTTCAATCATGATGCATCGGATTATGAGCAATACTTATAGCAGCCTTGTTCTCACAATACAGTTTCATAGGGTATTCAGCTATCATTTTCAATTCTCCCAAAAGTCTCTTCAGCTAGATAAGTTCACAAGTTCCTTGTGCAAGAGCTCTATATTTTGCTTTTGCACTACTTCGAGCAACAATAGACTGTTTCTTGCTCCTCCATGTGACAACATTATCCCAAACCTTTATACAATACCCAGAGGTGGATTTTCTAACTTCAATTGGTCCTGCCCTATCTGCATCTGTAAATGCTTCCACATTTCGTTGTTCATTCTTCTCAAAGAACAAAGCCTTACTAGGTGGGGCTTCAAATACCGTAAGATTTGATACACAGCTTCAAGATGCTCCTCAAATGGAGAGTGCATGTACTGACTTATTACACTAACTGTAAAGGCAATATCAGGTCTTATATGAGAAAGTAGATCAGTTTTCCAACCACTTGTTGATATCTCCCCCTATCTACTGGAATTCCTCCTTTCTTTCCAAGTTTCACATTAGGATTTATAGGTGTATAAGTTGGTTTACAGCCAAGCGTACCAGTTTCCTTCAACAAATCAACCGTATATTTCTTTTGGGAAACAATAATGCCATTCTTGCTCCTTGCAACTTCCATCCCTAAAAAGTATTTTAGTTGTCCAAGATCCTTAAGTTCAAATTCTTTTCCAAGAATTTTCTTTAGCCTCTATTTCTTCAGTGTTATCACCTGTTAATATAATATCATCAACATAAACGATCAAAATAGTCTTTTTTCCACGTTATGAGTGTTTGAAAAAAAGAGTATGTTCAGTTTGTTCTTGCTAAATCCATGTCTCCTTATTGACTTTGCAAAGCCATCAAACCAAGCCTTTGGTGACTGTTTTAAACCATAGAGAGACTTCTTCAGTTTGCATACCTTCCTGTCATTGTTTCCCCCTTCAAAGCCAGGAGGCAAATCCGTATAAACTTCTTCATCCAGCTCCCCATTAAGAAAGACATTCTTGACATCCATTTGGTGTAATGGCCAGTCAAGATTAGCAGCTAGTGAAAACAATACCCTTATAGTATTCAATTTAGCTATTGGAGCAAAGGTTTCAATGTAGTCTACTCCAAAAGTTTGAGTAACTCCTTTCGCAACTTAGCGGGCCTTGTGTCTCTCTATTCCATCATCTAAATTATACTTAATAGTAAACACCTACTTACATCCAACTGGTGTTTTTCCTCTAGGTAACTCCACAATATCCCAAGTCTTATTCTTTTTCAGTGCTCTCATCTCTCCAAGTACAGCAGCTTTCCATTATGGGATTTTTAGAGCTTCATGAATATTTTGTGGGATTTTGGTTACCTCAATCTGTTCTATCATAGCACGAAATGCAGTAGACAAATGACTGTAGGATAGATAATTGGACAACGGGTGTTGAGTTCACGATCTTATACCTTTCCTGAGTGCTATAGGTATGTTTCGATCGTCAGGTGGAGTATTCGCTGGTGATGGTGTGGTAGGCACAACCTTTTCTGATTCAGAATCTTGCGGATTGATATTCACCGGTGATGGTGTTGTAGGCGCAGCATCTTCTGATTCAGAATTTACTTGCGGATCAGATTCTTGTCAATGCGGCTGGGGCACAAAAGTTTGTACTTCCTAAGGTTGTGTTTTACGTTGTGAATAAACATGGAGCTCTGTTTTTTTTGTTGAGGATTAAGCATGGATAAATCTGTCCCTGTTTCCAACTTAGCTTCTGTTGGTGACACAATAGGAATAGCAGATGTTACAGGAAGTGGAATGGAAAAATCCCAAAGCCTATTTTCACCTAGTATCTCCCCCTGAAGAGTTGGTTTTGGGTAAAAGGGTTGATTTTCAAAGAATGTGACATCTAATGAGACAAATGTTTGTTTTGTGGATTGACAATTTCCCTTATATCCTTTTTGAGTAAGAGAGTACCCTAATAAAGATACATTTTATGGCTCTAGGTTCTAGTTTCCCACGAGATGGACTTTTGTTGTGAGCAAAAGATGTGCAACCAAAGACTTTAGGGGGTAAAGAAGTAAACAACCTAGTTTGTGGATATGATTCAAGTAACATGTTCAATGGTGTTTTGAAATTGAGAACTCTACTAGGAAGTCTATTGATCAAGTATGAGGCTATTAAAATAGAATCCCCCAAAAAACTGAAGAGCATTATTGGTAAACATGATAGCATGAGCAACTTCTAATAGATGACGATTTTTACGTTCTGCAACCCCATTTTGTTGGGAGGTGTTAACACAAGAACTTTGGTGAAAAATCCCATTTTCTTTTACATAATCACCAAGAATTGAATTGAAGTATTCCCTCCCATTGTCTGTGTAGAAAATTTGGATTTGGGCTTGAAATTGTGTTTGAATCATTTTGTGAAATAGCTGAAAAATTGCCTTAGCATTAGACTTGTCTTTTAATAAGTAAACCCAACAAGCTCGTGTGTGATCATCTATAAAAGTCATGGACCACCTAGTTCCAGTTATTGTGTTTTCCTGTGAAGGTCCCCAAATATCACTATGAACTAAAGAAAAAGGTTTAGAAAATCTATATGGATGACTAGGATAAGGAACATGAGTGTGTTTGGCAAGTTGACAAGTTTCACAATGAAAGGAATGGACATCTTTATTCTTAAAAGGGGAAGGAAAATGAGTTTTTAGATATGAAAAACTAGGGTGTCCTAATCTATTGTGCCATAACATAATTTCATTAGAAATAGAAACAGATTCACCACTTAGAGCCAAAGCTTGTTTATTCACTTGTTGAAGATCCTCAAGGTAGTACAAGCCTTCATGTTCCTTAGCATTGCCGATTATCCTCCCTGAAAGTAAATCAACAAGCTTGACTCTCTTCTGCATAAGTATTTTATCACTTTTCTCCAGTTATTCCCAATGTCTAGAAGTAGGGGTGTATCTCTTTTAGATGATCTTCAAGATCTTGCTGTTGAAACTGAATCCAGTGACCCTTGTGGTTTGGACCAGTCCTTAGTTCTCTCTTGGAAACCAAATTTTTTTTTTTCTTTGGGGGGGGGGGGGGTGTGCCCGGTAATGGTCTCTCAAGAAATCAGCTGGCTTGCTCAATGCAATGTCCCTTCAATTGGCAAAGACAAAATTTCTTCCATTCTGACCGTACCTTTTCATGTTTTAAATAAAAGGCCAAAGAATTATTATAAGTAAATCCTAAACTTTGCAATTGCCAAATGGCATAATTATGAAGAATATAGGAATAGGATATGTAAATTGATAATAGCATCCCACAGTTTGATATATCAACTGAATACATGAAACAGTTGAAGACATAAAGTCAGCAATTTACCATGATGTTACTCATTACTATATGAATATATATATTTTTTCAAGTTTAATTAAACACTTAGTTAATTATTATGTATATGTAGAAGATATGCTTTGCACCTGCAAAAACATATGTCCAGGTCCTGAGAGTTATATAAAAATGCGAAAGCTTTAAAGGGAAGGATTGTATCATTCTGTATGACTGCAAGAATAAGAAAATGATCAGTATTTAGTTGTTTGCTGATAATAATTTCTTTGTAATAATTATTGCTAATTGTATCCTAGGTGACTATAGAATTTAGGTTTATGAACTTTAAACTTTTGAAGGCACTTCGTGAAATTTATGCCCCGGCATAATAAATAAATGATTAATTTACATCCTTTTAAGAGAAAAAAGAATGATGGTAATGTAGAAATTCAGGGTTTGAGTGGTAGCGGCCTATTGTGAATAACAAATGGGTGTTAAAAATTGCCAAGGGAAAGAAAGAAACAGAAGCAGATATGATATAAAGGAAATTTAGACATAACATGCAGTAAAACATGGTTCAATAGTTTTCTTAAGGTAGTTGAATGTTTAATGTCATGAATTCTAGATGACGAGAAGAACAATTTTGCTTGTTCTTTTTCTTGGGTTCTCTTAGAATCAACACTGGTTTATTAATTTACGATGTTTTTTTGGAGTTCATGATTAAGTAAAACTTCATCTTTGGCCATGCAACACAGAAACTACTTTAAACAAACATACTAATCAGTCAATTAAATGAAGGTGAGTTTCTAAGTTATGGAAGCATGCTAAATCTTTTGTCTCTTTCAAGATGGGGGAGTCTTTGCGGTTCAAAATAAGTTCCGCTCCAACATGTGAATACCACTATGGGAACCTTTCTGCTAGCTTTTGTAGAATGGCTACTACACATTCATTGAAAAATATCCCAGGTGCTTTTGGCACCTGATCATGAACATTCCTCACTCTTAGTACCTTCACTCTGAGCTTATGAAGCCTCTCCTTAAACCTGATTTTCCCAACTCGTGGCCCTGAGAATGAGAACTGCATAGAGGGGCTGCCTGCCTATCATCCATGATATCTACTCGTGTCTCTGTCATATCATAAGCATTTAATGTTGCTAGTGAGCTCCCTAGACTGTGACCTGTTATCATTATGCTCAATTTCAAACCTGTTCAATTTCTCACCCTTGTACAGATGAATTAGTTATTTGATTTCTGTTGGAACTTGCTCTCTTGCTGAGTACTTACTAAATGGGAAACTTCTATTTCTGCCGGTGTACAAATGAAGGAATCCAGTCTTAATTGCAACTCTTGGATCGAGGTGTGGGATCATACGCACTTTAATTGGTCTTAGAAAGTACATAAAATCAGCTAGCCATTCCAGCTTTGCTGCTTTGCCCTGCCCGGCAATTGTAATGTCCCTCCTTCCTAGGTATGCTGAAGGTCGTTTGACACTGCAACATAGCCTATCCAATTTGCTGCTTGACTCCAACTCTCAGACCTCAATGATCTTTTGAAGAGGCTTGGGAAGTTTATATTGACTGTGGCATGGAGGTAGCAGGTTGCTTCTTATCCATGTTGCGTCAAACCAAGAGACTGGAAAAACTTCTGGGGACTATATTACAACTGCCACAATTGGAGAATGGATCAGAATCAAATGCATCATAACAAGCATGTGCCATTTCTCCATCGTGTGTAAGCTCAAATTGTAGGAGCGGATGAAAGGGATCAAGCATACCAACCCAATCATCCTCACCAAGTATCTTTTGTGAAGTGTCTGCTAATTTTATCTCAGGTTCTTCCGTTGTCTTATTTTTTGATGATCTTCTTTCTCGTTCTGTGTTCCAATTTCTCAAAGCAGAGGTGGGGACTCATTTCTAGCTGACACTCTAATACTTATTTGTTTTATTTTTATGCTTCCTTCCTTTCTTGCCCTAGAAATAGAGTTGGAACATGATGTCTGTATAGGAATGTTTTGTGCTCATGTCCATTGAAGAGCAATACCATCTTAGGTATGTGGATGGCCATTGATTAATTCTTCGTAAACTGCTCAGGCTGGTAAAAGGGATGATCAAGAGGGGTGAGGTTGAGAATTGGTTAGGAAGATGATAATGTGGTGTTTAATGTGCTCTATGTATTATTTCCTTAGAGCTGATTGGATGAAGGATTCAAACTGACTTTATTATCTGATCTCTGTTTTTAACCTAGTTTCAAGGACTTCCGCAGATGAGATTTAACTAATCCGATGGACCAATATCTAGTTTGAACATTTGTGGGCACCATTGGTCATTGTCTCTAGGTTACACTTTCAGGTTTCTTGTTTATATCTGAAGTCCCGACAAAAGGAAAATGCAGAAGTAGATGCCTTTTAACCAGTCAGTAAGGGTTGTTCTTGCACTTGACACTGGGAAGAAAAAAATATGAAAAAAGAGAAAGCCTTGCAGGTCAATAAGTCAATATTGAAAAATTTAAGAGCGAGTTTTTGATTTATGTATGGATGATGTCTGAGTTTCAGTGACCTGCCTTCACACTTATTTTCATTGAGCTAGTTGCCAGAAACAACATGCAATTCTCACTTTTTTTCCATGTGAGCTTCTGGAGATGGCTTTCTTAAAGTATTTTGAAATAATAATGTCTCTAACATATTCTAGTCCAATAACCTGTCTCTCTCATGTTTACATGTTAGTTAAATATAAGGAAATTAAGCGAGCCTGCTATTTTGTTGAAAGTCAACTGAATAACATTGAAATAGGAGATTTTCCTGTCTGCAACCTGTATTAGGAATATGTAATTAGTCATGGTGAACATCAGAAGTTTGAGAATATTGGGAAATACAACAATGAATTTTGTACAGAAAACTAGTTTAGATAAGGATGGAATCTTTCATCTCCCTCCTCTAAACTTCTTTGATTTTCAATGAAATGGCATGTGAGGCGTGAAGGATGGAAAACCTATTCTAAATCCACCTTGGTATCTGTTTCCTTCTCTTCCAATGAAAGAGCATCTGAGGAATATAACAGCTATTTTAGACTGCAATCTTTTGTTCATTGACGTGTGTTTGTGATATTGAGTTTTTTAGATAAATTCTGTTTCTTTGCCACTTTCAGTTGGGCTGAAATCGGGAGACTGGGGGAGTACTTATGTGCATGCTTGTATTCGCTTGGAATGTTCAACACATGCTCCTGGGGATGATCTCAAATTTTAGCTCCTTGTTCAGTTTTGAGTTTGAGAGTTGACTTTCTCTTATTTTGTAAGTTCTCCTGTGACTTTCCCGTAGAAAATGACCAAGCATATTTTTTTGAATTACATATTGTTAAAGTTCTCATCATATTACCTCAGTTTCTAATACTATACATATGAACAGTGTTATTTATATTTATACCGGAAGACATTCAAATTGGGGAAGGTTGAGACTGGAGTGGAAGAGCACAGCACTTGGAAACATTCATGCTATGTTTGGTATGAAGAATGGAAAAGGAGAAAAATAAAAATTTTTTTAATCTAATTGTTGAGATTCATAAGAACATTAGTTATTTTGTAACTCAATCATTAGATTAAGACTTTTTCTTTCCTTTCCCCTCTATTTTCTTCCTACCAAAGTGTCACTGATATCAGCAGCAATATTATATTTGTCCTGGAAGTTCCTGTCTTTGAATCCAAGAGAGAGTTATCTATGGTTAAAAAAGATTTCCCTTTCCCATTGGGTTTTTTTTTTTTTTTTTTTTTTTCTTTAAAGCAGCAAGGATTTTTGGACTTTGCGGAAGGCATTCTTTCTCCGGGTTAGTTCAAGCAAGTTTATCTATGTTGAGTTTAGTGAATTCATGAAAAACTACCTTCTCTTAACTTTCTAGTAGATTCAAACTCAGATAACAAAGAAAAGAACATTCTTTCTTTATCACTTGAGCTAACTATGGTTGATTTTTCTTTTTCATTGGCTTTGGTAATGGAAATGACCAGACAGAATCTGATATACAGGCGGGTTTTTGTCTAACTTGGGCTCTGTCTTCGAGCTTTAGTTGCTGGGTCTGGTGCTCAAGCAAATAATTCGCAACTAAGTTTTAGATGAACGAGTCAGAATTTTTGTAAAAGATTTTTCAAGACCTTGGATAATTCAATCTCATTGTCTATGGTGCTTGTGTACTTGGACGTATATGAAATTTCATTGGGCATTGATAAAAGAAGGATTAGCTTCGATGTTTGATCCTTTCTCATTTATTTTGAACAAAAATATTGCTGGACTGACTATAAGAAATAAAAAGCAAAAATTCCTGGACTGAAACCCCAATTCTGACAAAGATCAGGTTTGATACATACAATCTTTCCTCGAACAAGTCCTGCAGTTTTTTTCATGATTTGGGAATTTGAGGCCTGTGATTTCTCAAATAACCTGTTTCTTTCTTGCCATACAAAATAAATAGCACTCCATGCTAGTCTGGTGATGACTGCGACTCCAATCATCTGCTCTCCTCTAGATGCCTGATATACTTTAATGCCCTCTGCCATATTTCTTCTGAAAAAGCTGCGAGAGAAAAAGAGGTGATCCCTGGATTTCAGCCTCTTGCTTACATTTCCAACTGAGAGCCCCCACTTCTGCAATCTATACGTCCTTAATAGGCAGCCTGTTGAGGATAGTCATCCATGCTATTATGGCATTATTTGGCACATGATGCTGAAACCAAACCAATCTATGCCCCAGTACTTTCTGATTCTTCTGCCTTAAGAAATTGCCAAGTGAGATTTGTGCTGAAATCTCCATTCTGCTGCTGAATTGCTCACCTCTCAAAATTATTTTAATTTTTACATATGAATCTATTCATGAACAAGATCTTTGGATCTATAATTTTCGATTATAACTTTTATTTAAGTTCATATGGAACTTCATCACCAAAAAAAATAAAAAAATGAAAGCCCTCTTTGCTCTAGCTCAAGTTAAAAACATACCATATAAAACTTTTTCCTACAAGTAGAGGTGGGTTGATCAGGTCATTCTAGAGATTTTTTTTTTGTACTTTAAAGTTATTGGAATTTGAATTAATTAAAAAAAATTAAAAATTTAATATTTTACCAATAATTCACGCGGTTAGTAACTTTGTAAAGACCCTTTGCTTTAATAATAATCTCTATTGACTAAAACCACTATATTAAAGATAGATTTTTGCTGCTTTCTACAGTGATTTGATGGTAATAACGTGATCAAATTGCACAATGTTATATTATATATTAGTAATTATATTTCTATCAAAGATATTGAACATGATGCCAGATCCAAGAAACCTTTAACAAATATATATGTATATATATATATTAGATCAGAAAGAAGGAACTGCATTAAAGAAATGATCTAAATGTTGGTGATCCCATAAATTAATTGAATTGGTATATTCATAAAATAAACTGAAACCAACAAGCAGGTCTTGCAGCAGCTACAAACCACCATCTCACCATTATAGAATTCCAGCCTTATTCACCCAACAGCCTTACATTAGCCAATTAAAGTTAATGTTTCTGATTATCCCAAAAATAAATAAATAAATATAATGGTCATGAATGAATGCCCCATCAGCCTGCACATGGCCTTGTTCCCCATCCCTCATGCGGGTCCTGAATTCTGATAAATTTCAACTCTAATATACATATAATAACAGCAATAATTAAATTAATAAATGAAGAATATGAAATTTTGCATGATATGAAGAATCTTTTTGATTGGGGAGGAGAGGAAGAAAGATAAAAGTATTGACATTAATTAAAACTGAGGGGGAAGGAATAGAGCACAAACACAACAAACTGTGAGTCTATGACAGCAAGGACGAGCAGACAACAGCAAAAACAGGTGATTATTAAACAAGCCACATTAGCAATAAACAAGCTAGACAATATGGTTAAGTTTATTGCTTCTTGTTCATTACAAATGTCCCATATCTCTCTGCATATCTATATACCAAAACATATCAAATAGAAATACACAGACACACCCAAAGAAGCTGCAGCCAACTAGCTTTTTGCTCTATTCCAGGATCTGGTTGTAGCAACTATGCCCTTTGTCCAGGGCTCCAGGCTTTAGGGATACAGAACTTGGAAAAGAGCCAGTAACTGGCCTGAGGCTTGGTATAAGCTTTAGGCTCTGCTCTTGCATTTCTCCATTGCTCTTGGAGCTAAAAGAAGTTTTAACAAAATTAGCATTAATTAGTACCATATCCTGTTGCAAGTAAATAAGTGAATAACCAACATGCATGTGATATGCTGGTAGAGTGTTGGACGTTTAATTTGTAATCATGGTTCAATCCATGATAGCCTCAATTATAAAAACAAAAGTGAATAAAAATACCAAGCCCAATTGCTTCTGATCCTTTCATTATGCGCAAGCGTTTGCATGAGTCAACGAACATCCTGAAATTAAGCAAAGATAAGTGACAAAATTCACCTTATGTTGATAGATGAAAGCAGTTTCTATGTCTCAGTGCTGGCCTAGCCAGCTTTTTTTTTTTTTGGCTGAAGGTGAGGTGAGCTGCTAAAAGATGTACATGGAGCATGTAATGAAGACTAGCATAAACTTAGGCAAAGTTCCTTGTTTGATTGATTAGTGTTATTTATAAGCTTTTGGGCTTTACTGTATTTTATAGAAGGGAATTGAATATAGAACATACTCCCATGGGACATCACCCACGAGCATCCAGTCGCCATCCTTATCTTCATAGGTTGGCACATAATCAGAACTGTTGAGAAGATCCATCAACTTGCTCTCATTCATGAAGTCTATCATTCCTTGAGATCCATAATTTCCTTCAAAAAAATAACAAAAACAAAAACAGCCATGCATGTTAATTTCCATTTTTTCTGACAGAGAAAAACCAATACCTAATCAGGCAGCTTTTTTCTCCTCCTATAGCCTAAAAAATTCACTTTTTGGCACGTAATGTTACATAATCAAACATCTTTTCTTAAAGTCAAAACCTACTTTTCATAAATTTTTTTATTCGAGACTAATCACTAACATTAAGGATTATTCAATACTTTACTAACAAATCACTCGAATGTTAGTATCTTTTAATAATTTTTCCCTTGCATATACTTAGTCTTTTTAAAGAAGTTTAAAAGTTTTTGTAAGGACAAAATTTCAAGCATTTAATATAAAAATAATGTTATTCACTAAAATTTTCTGACTTGTCATTTCAAGAAGAGGGAATATGTTTTTGGATGGGTTATGGACAAAATAACATGGATTATGGATCTTTTCAAACATAACATGGTAGTATGGTACTTATATTTTTTTATGGTTTAATGAAACTGTATACTTACCCATAGTGAAGGAACTGAACATCTTAGCCAAGGCATCAGATAACTCTTGGTAGCTCTTGTACATCCTCAAATCTACCTTGCGCAGATATGGGGCCCCATCCATGCAAACCTTCACAAAGGCTGCTGCACTGCTACTGCTACTGCCGCTGCCACTGCCGCTGCTAGCTTTCTCACTTCCCTCTTTGCTGTTCTTCTGGTTAGCCATAATATTCTTCCTGTAAGATCGAACTGGTGGCCAACCCACAACTTGTGCCCTGGAAATCCAATAAAAATTGGTTATTATTATTACTCTTCAAATAACAAAGAATATTTATTAGTAATACGGAAAGGAACCCTTATATCTTTTATAGAAAAGCAACAGATAATATCATATATAAGAACTATGTTCATAAAGTTTGATAGAAATTAAATATATTAGAAAGTGTACAAGGATATAAAAAAATTGTGGTAGTTTTGTTTTTGACTTACTTGGCTGGTGGTTTTGCAGGATCTTTGGTGCAAGCAGGGAGGAGATTCTTCTCTTTTGAACCGTTCTCTATGTTCTTGCTCAGATCTATGCCATTTTCCTTAGACTGAAGATTAAGTTTCAAATCAACAGTCTCAGAGAAAACTCTTTTCCCAGTAGTCTTTGGGGAACTTTCCACTTCATTTCCACCACCACCACCAGCACCTCCACCGCCACCACCTCCACCAGGCAATCCAAGACACAGCTCAGTCTCTTTGAAGTTCAAATCACGCTCTGTTCCAAGCATGTTGGCCATTTTGCGAGTAACTTCCATGGAAGAAATTGCCTCTTGATGACCTTTTTTCTACCTTTTGATCCTATCTCTCACTTTTGATGATATATACTTTTGCTTCAGCTTTTTCTTCTTCTTCTTTCTGGAGTTGCTTCTGCTATTATCTTTGCTAATAAAGGGAGACAGAAACGCTCAATAATATATAAGCTATGATGGCTGCATGTGTATGTCACATCAACTTCATGAACTATGGTATGTCAACACGTGGAGGAATATGGGACGTTGGATCTTGAACCATGTACTTTAACTATATGCAAAAGCACTTAGTCGAACATTGGAGGGATGGTAAAACATATTGATTAATTAAACATGGTGAAAAAATCATGTAGCCCTTGTGGACCTTATCTAATTAATCAGGTAGCCTTTCCTTTGAATCATGCATGAACATAAAAGCAATTTGCTAGGTTTAACCTAATTATTTTTATTTAATTTAAATCTTGATAGGCTCCTTTCTGTTTTCTTACTAATCTCATAGATGTAGCTTTGATCAGATCCCGTACAAATGGTCGGATAATTGGGAAGAGAAAAAATTACAAGTATTAAAATTTAAATTTCATGCCTATTATTTGAATGTCCCTTCTTAAAATAATTGCATGAATCGATAAAGTTAAATTTCGAATTCAGATATTTAGTTTTATGTTTTAAGCTCTTCATAAAAAAAAAGAGATTTGACTTTTATATATTTATTATATTAGATGCAAGGCAAATAACATATTTATACTAATTAATCACACACACTTTTAAACAAATTTAATAGAATTAAATACTCCATAAAATTATGGAATAAATTCTTAAACACTCATCATAGAGTTGAGTTCTCTATTATTTCACATTTAATATACCCCAAATTCAAGTTAAAGTTTTGAACCACCAATCATTACTTAATCTTTCTTTTACAAAATAATAATAATTATAATAACAAATTTGATAATCATTCTCTCATTAATTTTTGAAAACCCATTATCAAATTGAACACTATCATCTTGTAGGAATAATGGAGAAGTCACAAAAGTTTTAACAAATCACATGCATGTGAAGGTCTCTTTTTTTTTTTTTTTTTAAATTATTTTGGGTATTGCCAATCTGCCATCTTCCTATTTCAGCTGCATCAATTAATTTTATGAGTTGGGTGTTGGGAGAAGCATATGATTATGCATAACCCAATCTTAATTATTATACTATATTATTATTGTATAAATTAATTAAAAACTAAAATGTTCATATTTTATAGTAATGATACTTCTAAGAACCTTCCAATTAAGCACATTGTCACATGAACCAATAATTCATCCCATGCAACAATAGGTTTTTTTTCTTTCTTAAATACTATATTATATATCTATCTGATAATGCAGCAGTATGTATAGTCTGCAAAGCAAAAAATAAATTGTTTTTCTCCAATTTTTACCTACTCTTTTTCTTCTCTTTTTCTACTTAAAATTTCTCTGTAAAGAGTTCATGAATTATTGAAAACGATTGAGAAGGAAAAAATGTTCGGATAAAAGACAACTTTTTTGAATAATCCTCAATTTTTGTTTTTTTAATTGCACAAAATTTACCAGAATTTTATTTTATTTTTATATTTGAAATTTTCAAAAATTAAATTCTAATCACTAATTTTTTTTGAAAAACAATGTGTTTTTATTAAGAATCAATAATAAGAAATTTAGGTTATATTTGATGTATAGAATAATAGATAAAATGATAATAATTTTATATTATGTTTGGTTTGTATTTAAAGAAAGGGACATCATTGTAAAAAGATTAATCATTATTCAATTTTTTAAAAGTAGAGAAGATTATTTTTAATTCATGAAGTTGAATTTATATATTCTATTATTTTCTTAAAAATTATATCAATAATTTAAATTATATAAATTTTGATGAATGATAATTTTGACTAATATATAAAATTATCCTACCTTAATCCTTGTGCGTATAAAATACGATATAAGATAATATTATTTAATATAATCATATTTATAATATTATCTCATCCTATTTTAGCCTATCCTATCATAACCTTATGCACGAAATATACCTTTAACAACATCAAACATGATTGAAGTTATGAAACCCCACTCACTAGTGAAACATTTCCAATCAAGCAACCAAATCATGAGTTCAAGTACCCAGCTTTAGCTAATCCATTACCAATGGAGCTATCCTCATGGGATGATATTAATATTAAAATTAAAAGTTTAGTATTCTTTCAATAAATTGCACGATTATTTTTAATCTTTCAATAAATCGCATGATTATATTTAAGTATAGTTCATGTAAAGTTTTATTAAATCATATAAGAAAATTTAAAATTAAAGTTAAAAACTTATGAATTATAACTCACTTATTAATAGATGAATAATGTATAAAAATAACTAAAATTACTGTTTACACACAACTGGAAAAAAATGTTTATACAACACAAAGTTTAGTAACTAATTGTAGAAAGGGTTAAAAAGACTTGTTATACCTGAAGTAAAAATTTCCTTTAAAACTTAATATAGAAATTTTTTAAAAATCACATGTTACATTAAAAGAAAATAATATTACATGTTACATTAAAAAAGAAAAAAAAAAAAAAACCTATTAGCTCATGCCATCACCTGTTGTACCAAAAAGTAATTACATGTTGCACAAAATCTAGCAATCTATCTTAGTTTATTTCAAAAAAAAAAAATCACTGTTTTTAATAAACTAAATTGTAATTTAAAATACAAAAGATCTTGTAAGTATTAAAATTTAAACTCGTAATTATCAATCGAATATCACTTTTTTAAAAAAAATTACAGAAATCAAATAAATTTTGAATTCAATTTCAAAAACCAATCTTTCATACAAAGCTTAGTTTCACAACAGAAGTTTTTCCACCTGCTATTGTCTGTGCTAAAACAGTATCTCCAAATCAAACAGCTAGCACTGGGGTTACAGCTACCGGCACAAAAAGATAAAGAGGGAGAGTTTGGAGACTAAAAATTTCTTTTTGGGTCAAATAAAAGCATGAAAATGGGTGGCATAGCACGATATTGTGTCACCAATTTCCCCTGTGGAGCACATGAAAGTATATGAATAGCAATTGCTATTAACATCACTCATTATAAAGACCTTTGAAGGGAATGGACGTGACTTAGAGACAGGTCAAATCACTAGGAGAAGGAAACATCCCTCACCCAAGCTGCGTCCTTGGCTTGTCAACGTCCCCAACCTTTTCTTGTATTGTTGCTTTCTAACCTATCTCTATATTTTCTACCAAGTGTAATTTAGAGTTTGAAAAAAAATTATAAATATCAAAATTTAAATTTCAAATCTACTGGTATGGATACAATAATTTAATCTATCTTTATGATATTATATATTTGTCTTTTTTAACATTATCCAATTCAATCCCATTAACAAAAAAGCACATTTTTCATCTATTCGACTTGGAATCATACAAGAATATAAAGAAATCTCAGTTCTCTACATGTTCTTTTGGAAAAGAAAAAAAACCCAAAAATACTTAATTATATATCTCATAAAAAAAGTGATTCCACCACTTTGGATATATGAGTTTTTTTTTTTTTTTTTTACAATGTGAAGTAAAGAAGTAAGTTTTAGAGGATTTTGGGATGTGGTCCAAATTAATATGAAACTGAGATATGGTGTCAATTATCAAGATTTTCCTTTGGTTGCTTTGTTGCCATAAAATACCATGGAAGACCACAAAGAGTAGAATATCAACTATTGTTTTTGCTCCAAATTTAAATTAGTGCTTTTCACGATCTCCATTGAACTTTGGACACTTTGCATGCCTTGCCTCACGATCGATGTTACCATAATTTGTCCTATTTATATCACTCTCTCTTGATTTGTTTGATTCTTCTTTCTATGCCTTCAAATAGGGATGCATGTCTTTGCCTAGCTAGCTAGATATTTTTAAAAACCATGAGAACCTCTCAAGTAATTGACATGGCAGGAAATTTTTAGATGGCTATAATATCATCACAATTGACATGCTTTGTCAAGCATGTTTTAAACTAATACTTTGTAGAAATACGGCCAAATTTCTTTTATTATTGTTGATGCTGTACTTCTAGGCTTGGTGAGAACGGAGCTAGCTGAAGACTGATGAGCTGGTGAGTCTATTAGACTTATCAAAGAGAAGAAGGTCAGGGGCACCGGAATTAGGGCTTTGGGACGTGTTCCGACACTAAAATCAATCAAAGTTATGAGACAATGAAGGAATGAAGCAAAGGGAGAGAAGAAAGTAATGGAAGAGAATAAGAGAATGTTGAGAATAATTATATAATTGATTTAATAATTCCTTTTATATCTTGTGTATTACGACGTTTAGTTAGACATGTAATTGTTTGTTTTAAAATCCTGTGTGGATGCTGATAACATAAGAGGTAAAATGTAGATATAGTCACTAAGATGTAATAACTATAGACATGATTACCAAGCCATTCGCCAAGTTAAGATCATACCTAATTACTTAATTTAAAGGATCGATAAATGAATTCCTAATAGAGGTAAATTATTTTGTAGGTCACAAAATTATAGATTGATTGTTGTATATATTTGATCAATATCTTTCACCAAATTATGTAAAGTTTAAAACATCATAAAAGAATTTAAAATTCTAACTTTATTTTTAACATGCTAAATTCATTAATTGTGTAGAAAATTTAACATTAATAATGCATATAAGAAAAAAATATATTTCTCTAATCTCAATTAAATTGTCACAGTTGACTTTTTATTAAAAGTTTTTAATTTTGATTGTTATTATTTGAAATAGTTTAATCAATTAAATTTTATAAAACATATATTTAGAAACTATTTCATCCAAAGTTTTTAAAATATATTTTATATTTTTATCATTAATAAATATAAAATAATAAGAGATCAAAATTTAAAAAATTTTACCAAAAAATCAAAATATGACTATTTAATTGAGACAACAAGAGGTACTAAATTTTGTATTTATATATATATATATATATATTAATTTTCGTATGAAAAAATTAATATATATCTGAAATTAACAGTTGTAAGAGATGTAACTTTAAAAGCGATAAGGTTTAGAATGTTTGTGTCGGTTTAAAATCTTTTCTTGATTCTGCAAAAAA